ATTTTTAGTTACGTGTGCTCACGTGCACTGAGTTCATGGCCAACAATTGGCAAAGAATGATTAGAAAAATAGATCTTATTAAACGGGGTCATGAAAGGTTATTCGTTGCCACGAGGTTTGAAGCGCGGGGTTCTTTGCCTTCTCGAGGAGTTTACATAGAGAATCACGCCATCTTCAAAGCTTGTTTTTCCAAGTGGAGTTTTTCCCACGCAAAACAATGGCACACTTTTACAAACAGGAGAATGATCGGAAACGAAACACTGTGTCAGAACAATGTAGTCCTTACGCTTGTTATTTCAGTAAATAATTATTTGGCCGGGGCATCTAAATTCGGCACAAGGAATGTTATTGCAAACCAAGCCCACGGCGGCCTAGCCATTCCTTGGATACTTTTGCCGACAAAATGTGGACATCGGCGGGAAATGTTTTTACAAACAGAACTACCACATCGCAAAGTGAAATTAGGTGCCGACAAAAGGCAAGACACGCGGTGTCTGGCGTTAAGGCAATTGAGATCCTTTGTTTAGATAAGGTCGATGGAGACGTGTGCTTTGTGCCCCTTTGTGAGGTTTATCGCGATCGATATCAAGAGAATATCGTTTGACAGTAGACAGAGCTAAACTGTGAATGCACACAAGCCAGGTCATTCCGCTTTGGAGTTTTAAGCAAGATTATTTCTTGTCGCGCTTGGAGGCCGGAAAAGGTCATTTGTCGCTCAGGCTGGGGTGCTAAAAGGCTCAGGTGTAAGCATCTTAAATCATTTAGCGAGTAAATGGCATTTTATTGAGTCTTGTTATCAGAATATAGCGATCTTGACGCGGACCGACAATGCAATCTTCATGTCATGATAGCGTGGTTATCAGTTTCAATGTTGATTGGAAAGAGTTCAAAAGTACAAGCAATTATTTCAGTCCTCCGGTTTTTATTAAAAAAAAAAAAAAAGAAAGAGAAAAATCGTAAACCTGGTATCATGTTAAAAACAGACGTCCTCCGGGCTATCGGTAGGTAGAACTGGATCGATTTTCTACCGATATTTGAGAAAAGAATTACGACAAAACAATAGCGAATTATTTACGAGTAAAATTTCCAAGGTCATCGAAAGTATTGTGAATGTAGGCCGAGTTTTTTCAGTTTCTAGTTGTGGTTTTGGGAATTCGGTATGTTTTGCCTTTTCTTTTGAAGTTTTCGGTTTTCCTCGAGCTTTAGAAATGGATAACTTTCAGAATGAAATATTTCCTTTCTGGAATTTGGTTACATTCATCGATATTTGCGCTAGTTATGCAATACCTTCTCTTTTCAATGTTATCTCCAATGCCCTTGAAGCAACATTCAACCGTGTTTGAATATAACTTCTGTTTGATATGCTTCTGAATTCTGGGAGAATACTTACTTGTTGTATATCGTGACAAAACTAAACACGGTTGATAATCTTCGTTCCAACCATAAAACCGTCATAAAACGTAGTAATGAGTTAAGACGCTGAAAAACACCTTCTAAAGTTCTAATCAAAATTTAAAAAAAAAAGGGCAAGTCAAAACAACATTCCTTGATTCTGGAGCACGGAATAGGTTTGAAACATATTATTACCGACAGAACTAGCTACCAAACTGCCGGAAGGAAAATGGTTTTGGAAAACTGCTTTTATGATATCTCGAACTTAAGTTTCCATTTTCATATATGTTCGTGCCAATTCAATTGCACAGAAAAGCTTTGCTAAAACATTAAATCAGAAAAACCACAGATATCATAACAAGTGAAGAGCAGAAGAACGAAAGCTTTGCAGAGTTTAGTTAGTTCAATCTTTTGAAGTTCAAGTTTTTCCTTCCTGTGTACTATATGATGCCGACTGACATTTTTGCGCACTTTTGGTCTTTTTCTAAGACAGAAAAATGACTAGCCGTTAGTCTTACAAATACATATACAAGTATATACAAATATATACATACATATATATATATATATTTTTTTTTTACTTTTTCACAGTAAAGCTGGGTTTTAAGATATTCTTCCCCTCGAAGCATTCAGCTAGGCCGACTTTTCATCTTGAGGAACCGGCTTTAGGGTCGTTTGAAATGCTTTTATAGTTATGAGTCTATTTTGTTATTTTTCATTGGATCATTGGTAGGAAGAGTTGACAGTCGACATAAAACTATGCTCTTCACGGCTAATGGGAATATTTTTCCGGAGTTTTCTCTCAGTGCAAGCGAGGTGGTTCTAAAAGAGGGGAGGCCGGATATTGTGGTACAAATGTGTCGTAATGATGAATCGAAACATGAGTTATGACCTTTCGCGAGAAAAGTTAATGATAACTTGTAATTTTGTGGGCCTGTTTAATCAGGCTCAAAGCCACAGTTATTCTTAAAAGGAACAAAGAACCCAAATAATTTATCGATCTGATGAATTGTGAAAAAACAAAATTCTATGTAACAGACTGCCGAACGACTAAAGCTATAATTGATACCCTCGTTAGCCTCACTTCGCAAGGCGAATAGATGGTGGCGCAGTAAAAATATGAGTTTTAACCAGACATCCCATTTTTTCATTAACTCTGCTAGTGTAAGCCCCGAGGCTAATTCTTTCTACAGTAAAAGTGTTTTAATGACTTATCCCGCCTCGCTCTTCTGATGTCAGAAGATTTTTAAGTACTGTGGTTAAAATTATATCGTCAGACAGATTTTAACTTGAAAATATGCCATCTCGCCAATCGCGTCTTTGCAATTCTTTGCAATAAATTGAGAGAGTTACTTTAAAAGTGTCCTTTCAAACATTATCGAAGGAAATTAAAAAAAAAAATTGTCGTTGAGATTGGATGAATTTCAATATAACGTGACTTTTGCATATGTTGTAATTATTGCGTAAAATTGTTATTCAGTTCAAAAGTTTATCTCGAGCCTGCACGCGACCGTAATTTGCAAGTCATGAAAAGTCATTTCGAAATTTTGTCACTCAGACAATTATAAAATTCGCTATTTCCTTTTCCTCCTTCTTATATTCTAAACACTCCTGGATAGAGATAAAGCTTGTTAAGTAATTATTTTTTCTCGGGGCATTGCTCATTAAGATGCAAACAAGACTATCTAAGGTAATAGAATTTTCCACCTATGCGTCTTTAAAATTATAGAATTTGTGGCGTGTTTTCTTTCCTAGCGTTATCCTCATTTTAAAATTAAGTCCTCAAATAATTTTAACGATAAATGACATGCTTAATTCCCTAAAATTAACTAAAAAGTATTGCGTGTCGTCTCGCAGGAAACGCAATTTATCACATACAAGAATCATCTATTTATACTTTCATAGTCCACACCAGAAGAGCTATAAATTTTAACTTATAGAAAATGTCAGAACTCAGAAAAGCGAATATAACAAGTTGTTGTGTTGAGCAGCCACTTGATACTAAAAGAAATTTAGAATCCGCCCGAGTCAGTTGATCAGTCGCATATAATAGCCATCTATTTTAGGAAGAAGTTTCCTGAGGCAACGGAGTTTGCTACATCAAATAGCCTTAAAATGGCTAAAGAGAGGTCACTTACTTTTAAAAGCTACCCATTAAGGATTTAATTTGTCCATATAATGAAGAAAAAATTATGGCAAAGATCGACGAAAGAATACATCTAATATATCAGCGAGCGATGAAATTATAATCAGCCCTTCCAGATCCAACTCTGATGACGAAAGAGATATGAAATTGTGTACGCAGTATTATTTTGTTAGATTTTTTTTACACATCATCTCTTATCTGACGTCGGTATCATGAACCCTACAGTTCTTGTTTGCCTAGATGAAAATCAAAAACACAGTACAATGTGGCGAGTAAAAGAGTCGAAAGTGTAGCAATTATTGATTTCGTAGACAGTGAAGGTCACCTGGGCCGTTCACCTTGTCTGCATATTAAGCACGCAAAACAAAAAGATCACGCAAAGTTTCTGCACGTGAAAAAAATCAGATTCGGGGCCAAACACTTGGCAAACATTTCAAAGGCAAGTGCCTATTCCCGAACATAACTAACCAAACAGGAAGCACTTTCTAAAGGAGCACACAGCATCGACCACGGTAAAATCACATGTTGATCACAATGGCTGTCAGAAGCCATTACACTGCATAATAACTCAAAACAAAAAAGAAACCTATCAGAAAGTTCCATTCTTTCCCGTTTCTCTAGCCCGAGGCGATAAGGGGGCAAAGCACACGAAAGTTCTTGTGCAGGTGCTGGCTAGAATAGTTTTGTTATATCCCGAAGGAAAATAGGTTGACTCTGCGAACAATTTAGTCCGCGAGCAATTCGATAAACATCGACTTTTAAGCGTTTCACTCCGCCTTTTCCTTTCAAAGTGATGAACGATGAAGATGTATACAAATATTCATCAATCCCCTTTCGTGGGCGATTTATCTCATTATCAGCAGTATCTAGAGAGGAAGGAAAGGGAAGAGGGGAATGACAAAACGAACCAAAAGACAAAACAAGGCGGGGTTCAAAGTGTCAAACTTGCAAAACAGCACCAGACATTTTCGGTCTTTAAGGCACCTCTGTGTCTAGAAAGATATTTTTTGTCAAAAAAAAATCTTAACATGAAGCCCTTGTCACTGTAATTGTCTGCAACACTCAAACATTTATCATGCTAAATTGCCAGTACAGTACGCTGTAGATATGCTCGGCAACGCCGCGAAAATTTCACTTTGTAAAATCGGTGTTGGCTCATGCCATCAATCTTTTTCTTATATCATCGAAGGAAACCGTTCGGTGAATGCTCAAACCTTGTCTCATCTTGCAACCGAAACAAAGACTTACCATATTTGTTTTCAAAACATTCAGCAGGACATGCACGGGTTAAAAGATCGTATCTTTACCGCAACACGCGCGTAAAAAGCCTTCGACTTCAGCAGCGCGCGTAGGGTAAGCCACCGTGTCGCTGATTGAATATTACATCGTGGTTCTACGTTCTTCACGACTGAAGTCTAGCGATGGATAATTTGGGAAAACAATTTAATACGCAAACACTGTATCCTGATGTACTTTTATCTTTATTGAGAACGTCTCTCTCTCATCCCGTGAAACGGATCCTATAGGATATATACACTGTCGACACAAGAGCATAATGTTATGCCCCTTGCCATAATTCATGCTGAACTTACGCTAAATAGAATGTTCGTTGCGGCTTGCGATAGAAGAAATAAATTAAGATTTTCGGAAGATGAGCGTGTGCCATTCGTTGGACGTCCACTCCTCATAAGTTCCTTAGGATAGAAAGTCTTTGGTCGAGGAGTCGAGGATTTCAATTTGCCCCTATTCCTTCATGCGTTCGCGATACCAAATGGGGCGCCTGCTCCGAAAACTGCACCTAACAAGAGAGAGGGTTAAAATAAGTTTGTGCGAAAGGGAATGTCAGCGCAGCCAATTCTGTCTACACAACGGGAACAAACAGATTACGAAGTGTTCAAATGAGACAAGACCGATAGGGTTTGATACAAGGGCATAGTCGAGCCAAGGGCACAAAGAGTTCGCCTTAGAATAAGATGTGCTAGCTTTACTTTTCTCGGCTGATTTTCAAAGAGAAAACGCAAATAAATTTTGCCATTCTGGTTGTTTTAGTAGTTACAAGCGTCGCTGAGATTCTTGTGTAAAAAAATGCTACCATTGCACAGCGTAAAGACTTACGCATGTGTTCTTTGTTTTTCCTAAATGAACTCTTTTACCACATGCTGGGAAGTGGATGTTTATCACGATTAACTCAACAAATATCCCGCTGTTAGGAAAAAGGTCAAAAAACGTCTTTGTTATTGGTTGAATGTTTAAGTTTTCGACTTCTAAGCCTATGGCCGTCGATTCCACGACGCTCTGCCAGATTTAAAAAACTAATAGAAAGCTTCGAAGGTGACGAGCGCGGAAATTCTAAAAAATCCCGCTTTCTTCTGCCTCTAATCCAATATTGTGGTGTTTTCAGAACGTGGAATGTTGAGAATGAACAAGAATTGAGAAGAAATACCGTAAGATGAATAACTGCTCAAGTTACACTTGATTTAGGGTCTTCATGAGTTCACGAAACTGCGAACTGGATTCATTAGCTTCGTATATTTGGAGAGTGTTCGAAAACAACAATGCCCTACCGGTGTCTTGTTCATTACGGTACAAATTCAGTCTTACAATTGGGAAATTTTGCGATACCTTCGTAAAGAATAGCTGCCAATAATTTGCTGGACCACCGGCGCTGGTGGAGTTTAAGCGCCAATGATAATTGCCTACAGTTTTTCTTCTTTAAGCAGTGAGAAAAGTACACAAGGCTAAGTTTCCATTTCTTCCGAGAAGGCTTTGTTGTAAAAGGTGTGAGGCAATTAGTACAAATCACAATGCCATACAATGCTCGCAAATTTCACTTTGCCATAACTGCATCTTCACACCACACGAAAGAAACCGACGTCCAGTAACAAAGATCACAAACCCAAAAACAAACTTAAGTAGAAATAAAAAAAAACAACGTCAGGTTCCGTCACTTTCAGTAAAGCCCCGACCAAAACGAATTTTCTTCTTGCAATAGATTTTAACAATGCCGTTAGGTATAGGTGAAAGTCCTCTTGGAAGAGTTGACACTAGTGAGCACCTTGCTACAAAAAGAATTATTTTACCGACTACGAACGGACCGAGGGAGATTCTGAAAAAGTGAATTGGCAATTCAGTATCCTAGTTGCTTTGATCGAAGACGATGAATAGAGTTATGCAAAATAGGCGAGCCTTCTATTCAGAAGGAGTGCAATTATCTTGTCATACACAAAAAAACACAAGCTCGCCTCAATGTATGCACGCTTGGATGGATGAATTAATGGTCCCCTAGGGGTACAAAATCTCTCCTTTGGATATATTTTGAACACAAGGGTTTCCGTTTGAGATGAGTTAAACGCTTGCTTGCGTTAATAGATAGCGCTTTGCAAGCCGTATAATTGGACCATTTAAACTGTTCAAGATGTTATACTTGCACGCGGGTGGAACGAGAGTGGAAACTGTAAAAAAACACAAAGGACACCTTGACACAAATAAAGTTTAAAGTTAGATGATACATGCATGCTTAACTTAGCTTAGCTAAACATGCCAAGTACGCTTACCAGTTGTTGAAACGGACCTTGATCCATATCGTTGTGTAAAGCGAATTCATTGAGAGCCTTCCAAGGCTGATATCCGGGTAGATCGCTCAGTGAGACGTCAGCTGGCGGTCTTAGCGAAGGTGGAGTTAAATTCGTAGAATACGTCTGAACACCCGAAATAGCTGATGGCGGTAGGGAGCGGGAAATTGCATTCGGAGAGCTACCCGTCGGACTCTGTATATAGAGCGTATAAAGATACAATTTGATCACAAAACAGAGTTATAAAATTCGGGCCAATTATTATGACTTCGGCCTTGCTATGTTTGCCTTTACAAAACGTATACAGTAGAGCTCCAACCGAGAGTAATGGTAATTGCATTTTTAGCTAGAATCTGCGAGTGGCCTTTTAGCAAACTACGAGTATGCGGTAAAGGCGATAATGATTGAAGTCTCAAATCTTAGAGTTTCGAGCAACAGTTTTAGTTGTCACTGTGTACATGTGATAATAACACAACGTCATCAGATGCAAACCTCGCTAACGAAGTCCGTCAGCGAGCAAGAATGATTTTATAATAGGCCACACACTTCTTGTATATTCATATTCAAAAGGTTGACTCATTTAGAAATCGCCTTCGAACGTCGCTCTGCTCCTTAATCGAGATCACCGCGAAATAAGCAAACAATTTCCATGGCTGGTCACTAGTTTAACGAGGAAGTCGGGGAAATTCTTGTCAGGCTATGCTCTAAAATAACGCGGAGCCGTCGAGCCAGCTGTGAATGCTAACAATTTAAAATTAACACCTTCAACCTAATTCTTCCAATTATGTTAACAAGAAACATCCTCGATCGGCGAAGAATGAAAAAGATCCGAAATCAAGGCGCAAAGCGCTTTTTAGTGATAACAAAAAAACAGGAGAAAATGCCTTACGTTTGCTTGCCAAGCTCGATTAACCACCTGTGCGTAAATAGTATTTTTGTTTCCGTCTTTGCGCTGACAGAACTAAGTGTTAACGCTCGAATACAATGACAAGACTCGCTCGTACGCTCATTACAAACGGCTGAAAGGAAACTTAAAAATTGAAGACATTACCTGCCCGTCGTCTGAACCTGGTCCCTGATGTTGGTGATGCGAGGAAGTTTTGTTAAGCATCATAGATTTCTTCTTGTCCTTACAGCGTTTATTCTGAAACCACACTCGTATCACTCGAGGACTCAGCCCTGTCATCTCCACTAACTGTTCCTTCATCATCGCATCGGGTCGCGGATTCGCCGCGTAGCACGTCCGTAAAGTGTGCAACTGCTTTTCGTTCAACACGGTGCGAACCCTCGTCGTTTTTTCTGATTTCCCACGTCGCGTCGGTGAGCCATCCGGTTGGCCGTTTGAGTGCGCTATAAAGTTATTTATTACGGTAAGCGTAAGCTTGTGGTCCGTTCGAGGTCGAACCTAATATTTCGAGGGTCGAAACGGGGGTTCAAGGGGAATACTTAGCAGTGACAATATGGGGCTTTCAAGTCTATAAATGAATAGTGGTAAAATTCGTGAGCCACCACTTCTCACTCGCAATTATACTGACTGTCTCGTACAAACATCCTTCACTTAAGATTTTGTATTTTCCTGCGGAAATGTTTTTACTTCGGAGGAGGTAACATACACATCGACAGTTCTAGCTGAATTATCACGGCTTGACGTTAATTTTTGAGTTTAAAACTACATCCTAAACTGCCTAGTCTTAACAGTGCGCTGATGTTTAAAAAATGCATAGATGGCTCACTCAATTTGCCATCACGAAACTCTATAATCGGAAATGAATGTCACAAGTACTTATACGTGTTGAACTCTATAATTGAGAACCGAGGATATTGCCAACAAACATTCAATTTGGAATTAAGCCACTAGCGATGACTGAACGTGTTATAATATTCTTTTATGACTAAAGGCTTTGAGTTGTAATACTCTCTGGGAAGATCACCGAAATCCAATTTGCAAGTTGCTTATCCACAGAGGGCCTCACATGAAGCGCCCGAAACCTAAAAACACACACAACACGACGCCATACGCCTGGTTCTTTCGGCCAAAATGATTTTGGGTAATTTAGAAGCTACCTTGGATACATGCAGAGTCAATCGTTGTTACTAATAGCGTTATCAACCCCAATTTGATTAGGTTGTGATATATACTCTGACAAGACCTACCGCATCGAAGAAGCAACACGGAGAGAAGAGACAGACCGACTTACCTGATGATTGAGACGAAGATCTTTGTCCTCCGCGAGCATGAGCCGCTTGAGCTGTTGCCGTAGCTTTCTCCACAATTTCGTTGTCTTCTTTACAAAATAACCCATCCTCCCGCAGAGCAAATTCGTCTCCTGGTACTAGCTGTCTACTGCAGGCGATGCAGCGAAAACAGTCTATGTGATAGATTTGATTCTTGGCCCTCATCACGAAATCATTTTTGGTCACCGACCGGGAGCACTTGGCGCACTTTGTGCCAAACAACCTGGAGAACAGAAAAGCAGAAGTATTCCACAATGGCTTTAAAGCAAATAATGCGCTTCGCAAGAACAACTTTCGCAAATAGATCTGTTTCGAATTCATTCGTATGCAGAGTGACCCGTCAGTGGCAGATTTGAAATTCTTCCCGCTCCTTTATTCGAACTCAGTCAAAATACTGAATATGCGTAAAAGCGCAGAAGGCTACGCAACGCACACACTCAAGATCGAAAGCGAAATTTAAGGAAACCACAAATCTAAATTGTACCTTTAGCCTCCTGCTTGTCGAGTTAGCAAACTTTCCCGCCTCGCTTGCCCACAATACGAAAGAGGCGGAGTCAGAAAATAACTTGTGTGAACTAAATTTCCTGAACTCCAGCCGCCCGTTAACCGTGTGAATTTCTTTATAATTAGCTTCCCTGATTCGACGCAACACAGAGCACAAACCGAAATATCTATGCATGATATAACACAGCGGGTGAAATCAGGGCAGGTAACTAGCCGCTGGCTTACGCTATGGCTTTGTGAAGACAATACGGTCATAAGGATCAAACAAGCACTCTGTCTTCGTAATTAACAACATTGATTCCTTCGCCTGAATAATATGCCGTCAATGTTTGTAATAAGCTGCCGTAATCCTACGATGAACACGGTTTGGTGGCTACGCCGGCGGCCAAAATTGGAAATGTATGTGTTGATCGCGATTTGATCGCACCCGGCAGGTCTGAGATCTTGATTTCGCAGCAGCAGACTACTCTGGCTTACCTAACATAATCACGTTTGCAGTACGTCTTTCCGTCGCGCACAAAACAAGTACATGTCTCGTCCAGATACGTGTGGCAGTCCGCGCATTTGAGACAGCCTGCGTGCCACTCCAAGTCGGGTGCTACGCGGAGAATGTACTGGTCTTGAATCTGAGATCCGCAGCCGACACACATAGATATTCGACGCTTCTCTGCAAAAGAAACACAAAACAAAACTTAAGAGCTCCTTGGTCTAAAAGCGTGACAGGAAATACTTTGTGAGTCCAAGAGAGCCGCGGCGCTGGGAGAAGGTTTATTTTGACGAGCAGGGAAATAGCATCGGGTGAACCACGTACGTTGAAGTTCCTGATCGCTCATTCCCGAGGAAGCTTCAGAATACACTCTTGGTGATATCAACCAAAATGGGATTACTAACTGAGCGACACTGCCAGCTGACGAACCGAATACTTCAAAATTCCGATCTCTTTAGATGCGTTATGCGATTGGCGCAGCCGGATCGTACAGAGACACGTGACTTGAGCTGTCATTGTCCGGCATTTTATTGGCCGGAGGCTCTACCACCAATTTTACAAATTGGTACCCAGTTGTGAATGCCACACTTGTCATTGGTCGCTCACCTTTCACCACTTGTCAAACTTTGCGCGTTTTTTTAGATTTGAATCTGCGATAAACGCAGGTGTATGTTAAGAAACTAACCACAGATAAATTTTAGTATACTGTTCCGAACATATGGAACGAGCCAACGGCCGTAGCCTTGCTGATCGCAATATTGAAGAGCCTTGTTGACGATCAGAGATCAAGATTTCTGGTCCGTCGCAAGCAAATGCCTCGAAGTTGTTATTGAAAGTGACAGCTGACTTTTGTATTTCCCGTTTACTCACGCACGTGGAAAGTCACAAAACCAATATCTGTTACCGTTCTTCTTGAAGGACGCCCCGATATCTGTTTGGGTGCGTGTGAAATAAATTTAGTCGATAATTTCGCAATTGAATTGAATCAGGCACTGGCGTTGTCACTGAATCGCTGAATAGAAGTCGCCTTTGTAACAAGCAAACTGTTTATGTGCCGTCAAAAGCAGTGCCAACCGATCGAGGGCAATGTGAACGCTTTGTTCAATTCTCTATGCTTGGCGGCGCAACAACAAGCAAATTTGAATCAAAACAAAAGGGTGGATTTGGGGTTGGATCTCATTGAACCTCAAACACTTCGATATAATTAGCAGAAATTTGTGAAAGGAACCAAACGAGATTTAGCACGTCCTAGTTAGGAGCTCCGCCTCGGCGGTCACCAATTGGCGAGATATTGTCGGGTTTGATATCTTTCTATCGCTTGCTGATAGGAACTCTCAACCCCCACAAAACCCAGACAAGCCGCGATGTTCAAAACTAGAGAGGTCTTGATATTGACACAAATTGGAATGAAAAATATTTACCCGAGAAATTTTCCCTTTGAATAGCAGAACAAAGTCGCCATTGAAAACGTTTGTGCTCAACACAACGCGGAATAATACCTTTTGTTTTCCTAGTACAACTCCGGGATTTAAAAAACCATTCACCGTTGTCAAACATATCTCTTGATCGTCTGACGGCATTGTTGCAGCCAGCCCAACTAATTCATATATTAATTATCTGTCATATTCACTTGTCAAACACCTCATTTACGGAACTCTCGGTTCCAGACTTCCTACTCCAAGCAACTGCGCGAAATTTGCCTTAGCTAATGGAGCGTTACACCTAAGCTGGATTGTCCAACCCTAATCTGAACTGTCTCGTTTATAGGATTTCCGATCCGTCTTACACAAGGATTACTTATTTGGAGTGCGCCGAAAGGCAAGAGAGAGGGAGAGTTAACAGAATCGACACAACTAAATTGGATCAAAACACCTTGAAATATTTTACTCGCATTGTGGAATTCTTCCAAACCGCTGAATATCACTGATTGACATTTGCTTGCATGATCGAGAACAGAATGTCAAATCGCAAACGAGGGAAAAAAAATAGGGACAGACAAGACAAGCGTAACAGCAATTTAGCTAAGCTCAATTGCTACATGTAATGTGAGTGAACTCTCCATAAATAAAGGTCGTTGCGAAGAATAATTTCTCGCACGGTCTTTGCAAGTCATCTTTCGTTGCCTTGGTTGAAATTTTTCCCAACCCCAGATTGTTTGCATAGAAACGGAACCCGAATAATAAGTTTATTGGTGATTCTGCTGTTGATATTAAGCAGTGGCGCCGCTCTGGTGGCGGTGAACATGCTCGCATAAGATTTCTTTGCATGGAGTCAAATTTCTCTTTAGAGGTTGTTCCGGCTCAATTTCCGGAAATGTAATTCATAGCTAGGAAAAAAGAAAATGTAATTCTACGCAATTCGATTTCTATTTTCACCCTACCATAAAGTATATTGTTTGGTAGTTTTAGAAAGGAACTTGTTCTTAAAAAAGGAATTATCATCCAGGTTAGATAAGTCCAAAAAGGTGCTTTTTTATAGCAACAGGAAAATATGTAATCGAAAATGAAAACCATAAAACAGGTGCAAATGGCTCCATAGTGTCGAAACAAACGTGTCGCTAAAGAATACGATGTGATCGAAAATTAAAATTGATTTTTTTTTTATATTCGAACAGCTCATTAGGGTTAGAGAATTTCTTGAAGTAAGGTATCACTGTATTTCATCACTGTTTTCGTGCATGATTCCGGCAGCTTTTTGAACGCAGAGTTAAATTACAAAAAAACCCTAATCCTGTGTACTTTGTAATGATCTTGCATATTTCAAAATTAAGTCAGATCGTCAGAGTAACATTGCGGTTAAAGCAGTTGCCTGGTCATGGGGAAAAAAAAGAACACGGAGATGCGATTATGATATTTTCAAGTCAGGAAAATGAAAATATATTCGATGTAAAAGACCAGCTATGTGTAGTTGCATTTACATTTAGCGGAGAGTACCCAGTTTTCTTCATCTGACTTTGTTTAATGTAGATTACGCGAACAAAGGTCATTCGAATTTTAAAACAAGTTACAATAATCATTCAACTCTATTTGTTGAACATTCAAATTAGCTTCGATGAAAAAAAAAGAAAACCTGGCAAACATGGCGTTTTTTATTTTACACATTTAAAGCGAGCCTAGCGTAAATGCTGTGCTAAAAATATTGAACGATTGCTTGTCTATAGTGGTAATTTAGAAGCACAAAGCTGGTTGTCGCCTCGATGAAAGTAAGGTGTGTAAGTCATAGATCAGCGTTACATGCGATTTAAAATGGAGAAAGGGGCAAAAATACAAGGCAATTAGAAGCAATATTCAACAACTAAGAAAGCAGCCGCTTCGCGTCTTAAATATAAATGTACACAACATTGTGTAAACTTCAACAATATCACATTGTAAGGATCAAAAAGTATTCTGTCTACTTTGGCAAAGAATTTCCTAATGAGGATGTCTTTCAATGTCGAATTTCGTAACCTCCGGCACAGTTTTGACCTCAATTCTCGAGCTGGATATGGGCAATTTACGAGATTGTCTGGTTACGAAAGTGTAGACATCCCGTCGACATCTTCAGCGAAAAGTAACACATGTATTTTCAGCAAAATGACATTTAAGGAAGGTTTTCTCCAAAAGAACTTCCAGATATGTTTGTTAATATTTTTAGGCTTTGTTATATCTCAGCTGGCGGTATTAAAAGAAAAACAATCACCGTGTCAAAATGGCGGGAAAATATGTGATCAAGGGGAATGGCGATATTACTGTCAAAAATGGATAACGAAATTTACACAATGTGGCAAATTAAGAAGAAATCGTGTGGTTTGGTTGCCACGAAGACTGAAAAAAAAAAAGAAAAAAACGTTTGTCGCACAAACCACTCCGTTTACCGTGTTTCCGTTTTTTGCCGTGGGTAATTCCTAATATTAAGAGGGAAATTATACACAAAAGCTAAAACATCTGCTGCCCGAGAGCAAATGGACGCAAGAAACATTTGGGGCCGCAATTAGCGACAAGGCGATTTCTTTATACGTTCAAACTTTTTGCTGGTAATAAGAAACTGAAGCACGAAAAATTCGAAGAATTCTGACCTATATTTATAAGAACCACTCCTTGTAAATTAATTTGAGAGGTTTTGAGATAAAAAATAATATTTAGGAAAATATGAATTCAAATAATGAGAGAACCTCTGTTTACGCCAAATAGCCCGTGGGAATTTTCTCTTTAGGCAGCGCTTGAAGTGAGAAAAACAAACAACTTCCATTGTGACCAAGACATCGTTCGGTAATTATTCTGTTCCGCTGTCCTTTTTTTGTCTTGATCCTCACAAAAGAAGTCAAAAGAAAGTATATTTACTTTATATTTGCTCTTTACATTTAAGAATAATCCACGGCCATATTTTTTAATAACTGCATATTCAGAATTTTGAGTTAGTAGCGAAGGAAAATGTACAGAGGAAACGTAACCCAAACCTAAAATAAAAATTTATGCCTTCAAGGAACAGCTTGGCACCACAATTAACGCAATCTTTCCGAAAAAGATCGTATCTGAAAAAGTATGTAAAATTCATTGTGCAGATTTTATATCTTTATGTGGGTTAAGTGTAGTTTATCAGAAGAATATTTGAAGGTCACAAAAGAATATATTTTCTTTCTGTAAAATACTCACTATATTGTAATATTTCAATTCTCCGCAAATAAAGAGGTAATTCTTTTCACTCGAGCGAGTGACTTGAAATCATGTTCGTACGTAAAACACTTTTGAGCGGAATTATCAATCATGGAAATCATATGATTTCAAAGACTTTTTCCTCATCAGAGGAAATGTTTCCTTTCTTTCTTCGTAAACGCCTGAAGCAGCTAGACAATGAGATTGTTTGCTTTTCGGAATCACGAAATACGTTCTCGATACTTTTCAAAATCTCTTGAGCTTTGCAATCTTTATGTCGTCAACTGACATCTGGTGCTCTCTTAAGTCCGGCAAAGAGATAATCCAACCTTTATTTACGAGGTAGCAACGTTTACAAATCTAGGGAAATTGTAAAATAATTAACACAGCATGGAGTTAAACAAAAACAAATCTATCCAAGTTGAGTGAGTTCTTCACATCGCTTAAAGTTTATTTTGGGACTAAAGAGTGTTTTGGAAGAGTGTTCAATTCATTGGGCAGATTCTCTAGTCATATTGCATCAAATCAGAGATTTTGGCCATCTTTGGC